TATATGTACGTGGCAATGAAGACGCGGTGAAAGAACGAGATGAGGATACAGCAGAGAGAGAGAGAGAGAGGAGATAAAGAGACGGAAGGATGGATGACGTTGGGGCGGAACGGAGGGTAGGATGGGTGAGAAACTGTCGGTGAGTAGGATCCCGAGGAAAAGTCGCGGGGGCGCGTGTGTGTGATAACGAGCGTGGCCGCCGCCGCGACGTTATTTAACCGACGGGCCGCCCAAATGAATGGGAAGCGTTCGAGTAGAAAGTTGCCGATAAGACGGAACGAACGCATTTCTACGGTACGTATATATATATATATATATATACATACATACATATATATATTAAACGCTCGCTCCGACCTCTCTTCTGCCGCTGTCGTCGTCCCGAGCGTCTCTCTTATCGTCGTCAGGGCGCGTGCGCCGCCCACCCACTACCATAATATATATGGCTGCTGCAGGACTATCATCTTTATATTATATATATATATATATATATATATGTGTGCGCGTGTGTGTGTGTGTGTATGTGGGTGTATGTGGATGCTTAGTGAGTTTGGCGCGACAACTGGTCCCCGTGGTGAAAAACCTAGCACCCCCTTCAATATTTTCCGATCCCTCCAGCCGTTCCCTCCGTCTATCGTCAAAGAGATTTCTCGATACCGTTATCCCCACACCAATGATCTTTAACCGAACGTTATAGTAATATAGTGTATCATAGGTATATATTTTTCTAATGCAATATACGATATGATACAAACGGGTTCTTACACATGAATATGCGATCTAATACGACCGAAACCTATAATGTCATTCTGTGTATTACAAATTATAATACTGTATACCTTTATCTATATAGTCTATAGGTAATTAATACCCACTCATTAATGACGTCAATTATTAAATTGTTCGCGCAAAAATAGCAATTGATCTGTAGCGGTCAACAACCGTTTGCAAATATATCCACACGTCAATAATTTATTTTTTATACAAATAATAAAAAAATGTATTGGCTATTTAAAATATCCATGTAAAATTGTGTAATTATGATTTATAATTTTAGTTGAATATTTTGATATCAATTTATATGACTTATCAAGTTACGTTCGAAATATCCTATCATATATATTATTAATATATTATTATATATTAGCAACAAAAGTTCTTTATTTTTTTATAAAAAAAAAATCAGATATATTTAATAATTTTTTGGCTAACAATTGACGCGTATCCGATAATACATGTTTTTATATATTAATGTTAGTAGCATAATAGCATTGTACACTAACCGTTTTCGTTGTAGTTTTTACAAGTATATAAATCGTATTATATGAGTATCTACAGTGAAATAAAGGTGAAGAAAAAACAATGGAATTAAACATGATATTATTGACAAATTTTCCTGCGTGTGTGAAGAACGTTTATCGTGTGTTGCACCACACTAAATTTTTGAACCTCGGGGAGTATCGGTGGGAGGAAAAGAGTGGCGTAGTTTTAAACGGTCCCGCGAGAAAAGGGGTTTTACAAATATATAAATGCGGTGTGCGTGCGTTGTTATTATTATTATTAACGAGAGATTTTTATTTATCTTTTTTTTCGCACTGAGTAGACCGCGTTTATGACAGTGACAGTATATATTATGTGTACAATCCAGTATGATATAATAATACATATATACCTAACGTATATTTATAGTTGTGTATATATTACATACGTGTATATTGCGTGTACACGGTGAAAATCGTACAAAGACACACACACATAGACACGCTGCCCACCCCCCTTACTTATACTAAAAACACACACCTCCGGACCGATTTTTGTCACGCCGGCTGTTATATATATATAATATATATGCGCGAATGCCGTGTGGATCGAACGCGTTATGCGTACGTATATTTATTATTATACGTACAATATCGCGTGTGTAATATATAAATTTTAAAAAAGCCCTTTTTTCCACGACAGACGATCGGCACAGAAAAGGATGGCGGGTGAGGTATGTATATATATATATATATAGGGAGACAAAAAAAATGTGTATATATATAGTATATACGGTCGAACCCCTTGTGTCGCGCGATGTACCGTCCCCCAAATCCGACCCGCCGATCCGCGCGGTCCAATGAACAATTTGAACCCCCTAAAAGTCGGCCCTTGCACACACACACACAAGCGTAACGAGCAACGACGTACTTTTGTGTGTGTGTGTGTGTGTGTATCTGTATATATCTATGAGCGCGAGTATATTTATATATATATATAGAAAGGAAAAGAGAAGGGATGCTGTAATAATCATCTCTCCGATTTAGGGATGGACTGTGACTGCAACGATTGTATATATGTACCTATATATACATATAGCAAGAGGCCTGAAGCCACAGGAGGTGCAGTGTATATGTACATATATATAGGCAGTCTTTCACATCATAAACTCGGACCTTTGAAATAATTGTTTTAGTTAATACAAGTCACCATGCAAACAATATAATATAAATACATACAACATATACAATAATATACGACGCCGCGTGATATGTCAACTTTGCCAAAATATTGATGCGATGTGAATAATATTATGTTCCTCCCATATTAATAAATATAACATAATGCCTATATCAAAAAATGGGTTATCGACCTGTGTAGTTTTTCCGTTTTCCTGTGCTAGCTTTTTATGTTACAACACAAGACACGTCACCCTACGTCAAGCTTTTAAACAAAATTTCAGCATCTAATATACAAATAAATCATCTTATATGTCTTACGTAGTACATATTTTGATATAAATTTCAATAACACGTAAAGACAAACTACATGAACGCGTTTGTACGTGTTCATAATGAAATAATGTATTTTGGAAATATTTAAAGTTTTTAAACAATTTAAACAAGAATATCATAAACGAATCACTATTCTAACAATAAATTAAATACTTATTACTATAAGTATACTTTATTTGTAAGCCAATTAATGTTATTTTTACTATATACTACTCGATATGCACGTGCACTCATATGTCATATATGTATATAACACTCTATGTATGGAAAAGAAACTGTAAGTGCTAAACAAACTCAACTATATTTTAATGATAAGTTTTCGTGATTATTTATTTTATTTATAATACAAGTACTTATCATTTTAATAAATTGTTCAAAGAATTTTCCACCCTATGAATTTTAAAACTTTCTGTTTATACTGTTAAACCACGGTTTACGTTTACCGCCTACATTGTTTAAAGATTTAATGAATCTAAACTTGAGTCTCAAATGTATGGTGTGTATACCATAATGACAAATTGATATATATTACCATTTAGTATTCGAAAATAAACGGAAGGACACTATAATAGTATAATAAACATCTACTCTACCAAGTACCATCCAATAATAAAAAATATGTATCATTTTATTCATTTGACATTGTTTTTCTAAGAAATTCGATTAACCATATTTTGACACATAGGTAATTATTTTCTTATTTTTGAGGTTAAATTAAAAAATGAAACTTGTGTTATAAATAATTTAACACTTCAATTAAGTAAATTCCCTCACTGCAGACAGTACAAGTGACAAATTTAAAATCAAACAAGACGGCGTCGTATAGTTACAGACTTAAACTATTATTTTACTTACGTGTAAAATAATATTATACGGAGTCTCTTACAATGGCACCAATTAGAAGATGTCTCTGAATGGGAAAATCAATTCGTCACATTTAAATTACGGCTGCAGCGACGACATACCAACATATAATTCGTTTGCGTCAGTGTGTACCTATCTGTAAACGGTACCTAGAATTAATGATAATTTATTATTTATTATCGAGAAATTTGAGGGAGTTAAAAATTATATTATATAGTTATATAAATTGTAATTATTTATAGGAACGTAAGTCCGCACACAAGCAATGGAAGGTTAACCCACATTGCCTTTTTTTTGCATCTAGGTCTATTAACACCTATTAGATTCATTGAATTAAAAATAAATTTACTTTAGAAAACTTCTGAAATATAAAGTGTGATCAAAAAACTATAATTAATAAATACTTGTCTTATTCTCAAAAAATTAATATTTATGTTTAATACTAATATTTATTTCATAGCCCTCTCTATAAAAAAATCCTGCGTATGAGCCTATAAAAGAGTACCGGAAGAGGGGAATTTAAAATTTCAATGTAAATAATAATAATCTCATGAAAACAACTTATAAATTCGATGCCAAAAAGAAAACAATTATTTCTTGCCTAACATAAGGAAAAATATTTATAACGTATTATTATATAAATAGGTAGGTATGAATGGTATGATATTCGTTAAAAATGTATAACTGTGGTATAAACAGTCGTACAAGAATATTTATAGGATGTATAGATTTATATAAAACATACGAGTATGATTTTACATGGAATATATTGTAACCTTTACGTACACTACAATTATACAAGTAGCATTGGTGTCTATAAATATAGACATTTGGACATTTGGTTTCAAGCACTTACCTAATCACTTCGTTTTTTGCGACGACTAAACGCGAAACTTTTCTGTTATCTTGTACAACCAAATTTACTTTATACCTATGTTTATACTCAATTATATCTTTGTTGGTTAATATAAAATACCACTGCAGATAAACTTACATAACACACAAGACCTTATAGTTCAATTTTCGTCTTTCGAATTAGAAAGAAAAAAGAAAAGAGACTCTTATAAAAATTAGTGTCCCTTAAAATTATTAAACTCAATCTAACTTGTGGGGAAGAATGTCTCCGAGCCCCCAACAATCAATCCTCAACTATATAATTATAATATTTTTTTTTCTAGTAACATTTATAAATAATTAAAATCAATATTTTCAATAATCAATGTTTATAGTTAGATATAAGTAAGAGTCGACAGTAATAATAAATTATAATAAGGTCATAATTACTGTTAATAAAAAATAAATCAAATTTCTATCGTTATTGTATTTTAACATCTAATAATAAATCGGATCCAAACTTAATAGTTTTAGACTTGGACGGAGGAATGGGATCTGACGAAACTTGCACGTCCATCGGGGATAATTCCAATCACGACGGTTCTTTGATCGGCGGAGCCACCGGATCGGCCAACGATGACGATCAAGCACGACTCAGGTTGAAGAGAAAACTGCAAAGAAACCGCACGTCGTTCACCAACGACCAGATAGATAGTTTGGAAAAAGGTAAACATAATATATTATACAGATGTTACAACATTTGTATAGCAGTTTTCATGTATTAGTATAGGTATACTATATAGTATTGTACCATAAATGATAAACTACATTTATTATTTTTGCTCTACCGTGTAAAAACACTATAATAACCGATAACTGTGTTTATATTTAGAATTCGAACGGACACATTATCCAGATGTATTCGCTAGAGAAAGACTCGCTGGGAAAATCGGATTGCCAGAAGCAAGAATACAGGTAAACGTCACTTTTGTTCTGTTTATGAATGCATAAAAGGGCTAAAAAAATATTCGCAGAGAGATATAAAAGTTTACTGGCAAACTCGAGGAATTTCGGTTTTATTTCAACATGAAAGTTTTTCATAAAAGTTTAAAAGACCATCCACGAACGTCTCTCCTCTTATATGTGTGTGTGTGTGTATGTTTATATATATTTATATGTCCATTTGTAGAAACTCTAAATACGTGTATGTATAAATGCGTTATTATTTATTAGGTACTATTATTTTAAAAGAAAAGGCTCGTTGCAATCGAAATAACATTTATAGAGTAATCGTTTAAATATATATTCACATATTATTTCGAAAATTAAAAATTTTTACTTTTTCCATCTTTATTATTTTTATGTTTTAATTTTTTTTTTTATTATACTCATTTAAATTAAAATTCTGATGCAGAATATTATTTAAGTACTATAAGTTTTATTTATTAAGTTATTTATAATAATCGGATTTTAAACCAATGTAGATAGCTAGTTTATGTTTTCATGTTAAACATTTAAAAATATAAAAAAAATTAAAAATTACGAAATATTACCCTTAGGGCGAATTATTTTGAATCACTTTATGATATTATAACGCTATCGGTTTATGATTTGAAGGTATGGTTTTCGAACCGCCGGGCTAAATGGCGACGTGAAGAGAAACTACGTACCCAACGACGTCCAAATTCCAACCAAAACCAATCGATGGACCCGCAAAATCAACAACAGCAGCAGCAACAACAACAACAGCAACAGCAACAACAATCTTCTCCGAATAGGATGAATGGTTTTGCAAACAATCCAGATACCAATCCAAATATGTACACAACTATCGGAAACCACGACACGTTCAGGTATGTACAATTTACATAATATTATTATAAGTACCTAACTAAATAATTGTATCTGTTAAAAAATATTCCTTTTAAAATCTGTATATACCTACTTTTAGCACTCGTCAGTAAATCAGTGTTTATTTTATATTATATATTTTAATTTCACGGAGATAAATATAAATTTACAAAAAAATAGGAATTGATAATGAATGAAACAAACTTTAACAATTATTTTAAATTATATAACCCTGTTGGTGTGTGCGCATTATAAACAAAGTACCAAACTTTAAAATTAAAATGTTTTAAATTGTCTCACTAAAACTCTCAGTAATCTAAAAAAATAACTTTTAATAGATATTTTGTTCTTTTTAAAGGTTAAATTACTCCTATAGGTTTTCAATTATTATTTGTTCAAATAACTGTTTTCATATTATACAGAAACAAACATTTTCTTTGTTTTCAAGAAAAATTACATGTAATGAAAAATTGTAAAATATTAAATAACGAATTATAAGATATAGTTATAATTATATATGTAAGTACCTACAGAAATGCATTATGATTATATACCTTTTACTTACTACTTGCAATTTCTAACAAAAGATTATTAAAAGTACGATTATCGTCGACATTTCCTAGAATATTTTTAATATAAGAATATTCTATGAAATAATCTCGCAGTTTCCTTCAAGTTTTAATCGAAATATTTTTTCCTGACTGGCAATTAATAATAATAATTGAAAACTAATTGGAAAGCATTGTCTAGGTACTCAAAAAAAAAAACAGATTGTTTTAATTATCCGAAAATTATTGCTGCATCGATTTTTTCCATACATGTATTAAGCGTTCATTTGTTAAGTACTTAAAAAAAAGTGAATGTTACATAATGCCCATCTATTATATTATAAATTAGGTACTTATACCCTTATTTAAAGTCACAAAACAACCAGATAAATAGCTTTGTAAAAATATAATGTACACATGTATAATATAAAGTCGGGATTTAATTTTAACTACTTCACCGATTTTTATAGAAAATAATTCATTTAAAATCAATAATATGTATAATGTATAATGTATTAATTTATAATATTATATAGTTAGTACCTAATAACAATAATAACTACAATAGTTCTATTAAGACATAGCGTATCATACCACCAATTTTAGAGTGCAAAAACATTCATATTGAAAATAAGTAGTTTTAAATGATAACTCGTTCTATTTAGTGGTTTCATAGAGCAAAATCACTGATATCACGCTGAATAACACGGTTTAAAGTAAACAACTAAACAATATTTCAGAAATAACCTCATATTCGTTATTTCAAAATAGTCAATACCTAGATTTAAAAAAAATATAATTTTTCGAAAAAAAACGTAAATAAATGTATCTGTGTTTTGCGTGTTTAAATAATCAGAAGATCAGTATTCAAAACGTAGATAAAATTATCTCCAAAATATTGTTGTTATTATTTAAACGTATTGTTTTGTTAATAATAATTTATTGTGGTTGTAGCACCTAACCATACTCTAAAATCATTTATACTGTTAATATTACTGCTGTGCGTATGTCACTTAATTTTTTCCACTCGTGTTCTTTTCAGTCCGATGTCGATGAATTTTGGTATGCCCGGCGGCAACAACGATAACGGTCTGTCGCTGCCAATCATGGGTGGCCATCACGCCATGTCCGGCGGCGGCGGCACCGACCAGCGGGACGCGTACGGCTGCATGTCCAGGCCGACGTACGACACATCGCCACCGCTGGCCATCGGCGCGCCCGGCTACCTAAGGCCGCCTGTGTCGCCGACGTCCAACAACAGCAGTCCACCAACTCACCACGCGGCCGCCGCCGCAGCAGCCGCCGCCGCTGCCTACCATCACCATCCGCCTCCCATAAACGGTCACCATTCGCACCACCACGCGCACCACCAATACAACATGAATGGCTCAAATTCGACAGGTACCTATCTACATTTAATGTTAAATTGTTGGTGAATGTACACCGGGGATTCGTAACAAATATTATATAGAATCACTGAATAACTATTAACTATTGTTCATGCGGGGTGGGTCGAACTTAAGTTCGAACTTTGTTTTTTTCATCAGATTATTCCGAGATCAGACTCGAACTCGAATCTATTTTTTATTTCGATTTTTTGCGGACATTTTAAACTTTCAAGACTTAAATTAAACGTATTTAACCATTTTCATTTTAAACAATAATATTCCTACTCTGTTTTAACCGATAAAAACTTTATGACAAATACTAAAAATAAAAATAGTAGGTAGATACTATGAGATACAGCTATTTATATTTCACAAAACATTTAATTATATTTATTCTATTTTAGTATTTTACTTTGAATTATTGAATAAATGATTTTTTTTTTAAAACGTTGATGCAATTAAATTGAAATTCGAAGTAGTAGGTTATGAGTTATTAAAGATTAAGTTAAAAGTTATAACTAATACCAATAGCTATAGCTAATACTCATGATTTGTATATCACAGTAATCAATATTAATTATATTAACATTCTATAATGTGTAAGAATTGTCTGAATATGATAACTATAAATTAAATGTAAAAGTGATATGCGGAAAACCACTCGTCCCTTATAATTATATTAATATATACCTATTGAACATTATGCCTTTAGTATAAACAATTATAATCATAATTCACATCATAACAAATGGCAATATATTGATGTAAACATTCAATTACAAAGACGTGACTTAGGCATTGAAAATTTGTATATCATTAAATAAAATACAAAAACAAATTCCTAAATATTTTTTTTTATGCTGTAAAGCCCATCTACCCTGTCTTAAATACGATTACGATTGTACTGATCGGAATTCAAGGGTATAATTTACACGGGTATGCTGGTTTATTGAAAACAGTATTAAGTACCTATCTATATTCATATAGTTTAACAATATTGTTGACCAATAGACAACAGGGTAAAAAATACTTTAAATTCTTAACCTATATTTGTACTTACATTCAATGCTATTACTTATTTCAATATTTCGGCGCCTGATGATATTGCAGCGAATGATTGATACTTACCTATGTAATAGATACTATATAGCTATGTGATACCTATATAATAACCATATTACACTAACTATATAAGTATAATATACTATTGAGGAATATTGCCATAACATATATATTTATATATGTAAGCTCAACTGAAAAAGAACTTTAGAAAGGGTTTGTCTATCCCAGAAGCGCCAAGTACCAAAAAGTTTATATCGTAATTTGTGAACTAAATCGTGAGCTATATCTTAATACTAGCTATCCTCACATACTACTTTATCCTATAAATGCTAATATTTAACGAAACGCGTGTAGATAAAATTATATTTTCGGTTTTCTGATATTTGATGTAAAATGGTAATTTCGACTTATCAACCTTACATAGCTGTCCCACCCTGCGTCGCTTTTTTTAACCATTTAAAAGCAGCGTTTTTTCTTTAAATTTTTTTTTTATATATATTGACCCATATTTTGTATCCTTTTCTTACTTAACTAAAAACCAACAACTTATATATGAATAAAAAACCATGAAAAAGTTTTGTACTGTTTAACTACATCAATTATTCTCTAAAATAATAACTAATAATCGGAAATACGAATGAAAAATAATATAAAAATAATGTACTGATTATTTAAAAAATTAATAACTCAGATTTTCATTCCAGTCATAAAAACTAAATTTATATGATATAGAAACTATAATCAGTGCCGGGGAGAGGGGAGCAGGATCTTTGCTCAAGGCTTAGAATTTTTATGAGGGCCACGTGACTAGAAACCTACACTTTTTTTATATATAAATTTCTCAATTGTGTACGAGTGTACATGTTAATATAGCAAATAATATTTTATTAAGGATAAAAATTCATCAGAATACTTTTATCGTGTACATTTTACACTATATGTGTGAAAATATATAATATATATTTTAATGTATGAAATTATCAGAAAGTATTTAAGTACAACCTTACAATAATTTGTAGCTCATTTTGACGGGGCCCTCGCAAATCCTAACGCGTAAAATTGTGAATTGATGCACAATAAAATAAAATAATATAATGTATTTAAAAAATTTTGTCGAGTAATAAAAAAATAACTCACAGCCTTATAATATCATTTCAAGAAGTCCCGATTACGTAAAAATAATTTTTTGATTTTAAAGTAGATATATTTTGTAGTTACATCAATGTTTTAATCAGTGGTATCGTTAGGACTGCGCAAAATATACATTTGCGTATTTCAAATTTAATATTATTGTTTTGGTCTACTTTTAAAATATCTCGACCTGAAACACGTACAAACGGAGTCTTAGGGGTTCAACCCCTCCCCCATTCGAAATTTCATAAAAATTATCGAATGTTTTTTTTACAAGGTGAAAGTGATTTTCGTTCAATAAACTTTTCATTAGCTACCTACATAAAAGTGTATGAAAATTTTTAACCTTAGATCCCATAATCCCCAAAACATTTATCGTGTACGCGCCTGCTTGGCTTGAATAATAAATAAATCCCTGACAAGAATTGTGACCTGCGCAAAAACATGCGTATTAAAGATAAAATCTGAAACAATGCCATCAGTTATGACGGATGTACCGTTAAATATATTTTAATCCGTTTAAAAAATGTAAACAATATAAATAATATTCAATAAGTATGATTCATAATATTTAATATTTTTTAACTTTGCAGGTCTCATATCACCTGGAGTTTCGGTACCGATCGCCGTACCGGGACACACGACCGACTTGTCTTCGCAATACTGGCCGCGCTTGCAGTGACATCAGCTTGTCAAATAATGTATTATTCTGAGCTGATTTCGGGCGTGTGTGTACAGTCAATGACGCCGTGCAATTTTCCGCGAACCGATAAATTATTGTAAAAGTTATGTATTTGTAATATTATTATAATTTATAACACATTAGACGTATCTGCTGACGAACACGACGTGTTAGACGAATACCAGCGATACCCTTGAATATTTATAACATGTAATTGTAATTATTAACACTTAATAACATAATATTATTATCATTATTTATTATTATTATTATTATTATAACTAAATCATAGCTAAATAAAAAGTTGAAAACAATATTATATAGTTATTACCTATAATCGCCGCAAATTTGATTAAACTACAAACGTCGAATTAATATTATACATATACATATAGATATATATATATATTATACTGCATATACTTATATATATAATATATATATTATGTAAATGTGTACTTGTAAAAGAATAAATTGTAAATTATATTGTATAGTTTTACGTGTTAACTATATTATTAAATATATATACACCGAAATAACATTATTATCGTTATATGTATAAATGCTTGTAAAAATAAAATTACCTATCCTATAATATTGTGTGCACGAGTAATCGCATAAGACACGAACGACAAAAATCGTCGTTTTACAACCGCTGCGCCTCGACGAACGCGTAACGTCACGTGGACTCCAGCTCGGCGGCGGCCACCGGTTGGGTCTTGAACGTGAACACTTGGACCTCGTCCGAGCCGCAGGCCGACGAGTCCATGTCGTGACAGCCCTTCATGTGCTCCGTCAGGTTGGACTTGGTCCGGAAACACTTGCCGCACACGGAACACTCGAACGGCTTTTCGCGGGTATGCACCCGCTCGTGGTTCAACAGCGCCGTGTACGTCCGGAACGGTTTCGAACAGTACGTGCACTGGAACCGCTGGTCGCCGCCACCGCCACCCGCACCGGCGTCGCGGTCGGTCATCTTCGCGTCGCTCTTGATCAGCCACAGGCTGTTGTTGTGCACGCGCTTGTGCTCCAGCAGATTTCCCTTGGTCCGGAACGGCTTGGCGCACAGCTCGCACGTGAACGGTTTTTCCCTGGTGTGCACCCGCTTGTGGTTCTCCAGCGTGGCCACCGACCGGAACTGCTTGCCGCAGTACGGGCATTGCCGATCCGCGGCTTCTGAACAGTTGTTGCTTATGTGCGCGGACAGTTGCGATTTCGACGTGAAATGTTTGTTGCATTGTTCGCAAGTGAACGTCGTCGTCACCGCGGACGCCACTGCCGCCGGTGCGATTGTCGCCGCGACCGTCTGCGCCACCTGTTCCGGTTGTTCCCGCTGATCGTCGTGCACGCGCTCGTGTGCGGACAACTCGTCCAGCGACACGAACACTTTGGAACACTGGCCGCACGTCAGAATATCTTCGGACGTGACCGTCACTCGGGTTATGGACGGGATGTCCCTACTCGACGTCTTCATCCAACGCAGTTCCGGATTGTGAACTCTACGTGAAATAAGAAATATTTATTTTAATTATAGACGTCTTAGATACACCTGTCTAGAGTACACCTATGTCTACGTCATAACATAATAAATATGAGTACAAATATTATAATTTGTTATTCACTCTGGTAGTCGTCTAGTATTGAACTGTAGGAGCGTCTCCAAACCAATTTAAAGGAATTGTGGGTGAAAATTCCAAGTATAAAACTAGTTTTTGTATATTATACTATATAGTTTTAAATTTTGTATTATAAAATATTTATTTATATATTCTGATGGTTATGCTTATGAATATTACAAATTTTAAAATGCTCATAACTTGTTTTAAAATTAAATGATATTATAAAAATGGATAATTATCAATGTTTAAAGTTTGATATGATGTGCAATAATCAGATAGAAACGATGCGACACATGCAAGTACGACAACGTTCTCTTAAGAGACTATACATTAAAAATATTAAGGATTTTAAAAATCTACAAGTTATGGATGTAGGGGACTGTCCCATTCACCATCATCTCTTAAAGACGTTTTTGGCGTCAAGCATATTACCTTTAGAACAATCAAACTCTAAATATGAGAAATAATTTTTGAAATATTTAAATATAATTAAACTGTTCAACTCTTATCTTGAACCCAATAAAAACTAAGGCTATCATAATTTAAAAGGCTTTTTGCAAACGACATTAATGTATTTGTACGTATAAATTCTAAACAAAATACAAATCTTCTACAGTTAAACCGCAGTAGTTTGAAGTTAACAATTTGAGAAAATCTGTGGGACACGTGTCTTTTCCTAAATATTTCTAAGTGTCACACAAAGACTTTTTCCTGACCGTTAAATACAATTCGTCCCAAATTTATTGAATACACAAGGTGTTTCTATATCAACTGAAACATTTGTGTGAAGACCTTAGTTTCTACCTTACTCTTTAATTGTGCCATCGTAAACACTTGCAAGCTCTATATAGGTTACCTATAAAGCATTGACAGTTAAAAACATATCATTTTTAACGAATTTAAACTTTATGATCTTTTAAGTCTCTAATATTCTCTATCCAGACCCCGTTTCTTAAATATAACATAGCTGCGTCTTTAGGCTTCTGTACTATGCTATAATGAGCCCCATTAGTGCTTTTATTTAAGGGACAATAATTACGAAATTTCTAATCTGCCACCCAGGAACTGTAAATTTTAAATAATTATTAATGCGAGTGAAATTCAATGCCGGTACGGGTGCCGACAAATTCCGCTCTTAAACATATATACGAATGTCAATAACTTAACAATATAAAATTTAAAAAATATATATAATGTAAAATTCACTATAGTTAGTGTTAACTAGTTTAAAGCAACTTCTTATTGTTTCGACAAAATTAAAGTTGTTAATGTTGCATAATTATAATTCATAATTTTGAAAAAAATATATTTATAGAGCTTACAGAATACTTCATTTTTTTTATTTTTTATTTAATTACAATTATGATTTGATGTTTTCAAATTTTTAGTTACAGTCTAAAATTAAATAAAAATATATTTTTTCAGCGTTGTGTACCATTTATAAACCTTTTTCTACTGAATTAAAATTTGTTTTTATTATTCAAATCAAACAAAATAAATAATTTTCAATTAGATCATAACGTTATTTTTTTTTTAATTAAAAGTAACAGCAGTAAGTAACTATAGTAAAACCCTAAAGTGAGTTCAATGCAAATCCTGTTTACTCAAAACTATATTTACCAATACATACCTAATCACTACAATATAATATATAAAATAGTCTCTATAATATTATGTTCATATTTAAAATATTAAACAAGCATTTAACTAGAAATCACAAATCATATTGTCATAATAATATATTAATGTATATTAATATTTAAAACTGGTATATTATTTTTCAAATCTAATGTTATAATTTTATAACGATTAATTTAGTATACATAACATATCTTACTCTATTAGTATTTTACCCCTAATATCTATTAGATACATAATCATGTACATCATAAAAAATTGCTTAGAATTTACATCCTACTCTACCCCTAACCATCTCATAAGTAGATTTGTCCGTTTATATATTTATATAATATATAATAGAAGTGCAACTAACCGGTAATGTTCATTTAAATTGGATTTAGTCTTGAAGAATTTTTCACATACACTGCACCCATAAGGACGCTCTCCTGTGTGAGAACGCATGTGGTTTGCAAGTGTATAAGCAGACAATAACTCTTTACCACAAATTGCACATTGATGATCACTGGTATTAGTTTCTAATGTTTCTTCTTCATTAACAGACATCTGCATTACCTCTTCTGTTTGAACAATACAATGAGATAACTCAATTTCATTTTCAACTATTTGCTTATTATCAATAGATTCTGGATCATCAATTAACTGTTCTTCATATTGATCTGGTTCCACTAATAATAAATCTTTACTATTAATTTCTTCCGAATCAATTACTATAGAATCCTAAAATGTATAAATAATTTATTAGATTAATATTAAAATATAATATAGGTACATTAAAAATTTAAAAATATTATTTTAATAAAGATTGATTTAAAAATTATATTTCCTTAGCTAGCTTAAATAAATAGTTACACTGCTAAATTCTATACCAGTTTTTATTAATAAATTTTGGAATAAAATACAAATACAAAACAGATGAAAAAAGTAACATTATAAAACATTATGTAATTTTAACAGCATATAAATTCAGAATCAGAATAAAATACAAATAATACAAAATAGAGATGAAAAGTAATATTTGGTAACATAAAAATTATATTATAGGAACAAACTTGTAGTGCAAAGAATTCAATAACTAAATAAATTAAGAAATTTAGTTTTTATTTTTATTTCTTGAGTGAATAGCTTGATGTCGACGTGCTTTTTGTTTGGACATGAATTTTTTCCCACAAAAATTACAAGCAAATGGTCTTTCTCCAGTATGGGCACGTTCATGAATTGTTTTATGAGCACTTTCAAAAAATCGTTTACCACAAAACGAACACAAAAAATTCCTAACATTGTCATGATATCTCATATGTCTATTATATTCAGCTCTGGTGTAAAATGTCATTGTACATTTTTCACATTGCACGTCTTTGGCTGCATTATGAGTCATTTCATGTCTATCACGACCATATGGTGTAACAAAAGCTCTTCCACAATATGAACAAACATAATTAAAGGTACCTTCATGTTTGTTTTCATGACGTACAAGTGTCAAGTATGATTTGAAACATTTTTCACAATGACGGCATTTTATTTTCTCCCCAGGTGCATGAGTCTTCATATGTATCCAAACTTGTTGAATAGTTGCAAATATTTCCTCACAAAAATGACACTGATAAGACAAAGAACCTATTTCTAATTTTTTTTCATAATTTCTTAAATGCGATAACATACCAGCCAATGTTTTGAAAACTTTTTGACATTTTTCACATAAAAAACCTCCTTCAATTTCTTTATAAGAATTTTTTACTTCTAAATTATCAATATTATTCACATTTTTGCACTTTTTGCATAAGTTTATTTCATCTTTTAATAATGAACTATCAAATTTACTATAGCTGTCTAAAACTCCATTACACAAATTGCATTTAATGTGGTCAGAAGAATGTGTTTTAGTATGTAAAGTAAGTTGTTTAGTTGTTTCAAAACATTCCCCACAATCTTCACACAAACAAAATTTATCATCAGTATTTTCTATACATAATTGGGAAATTATGCTTTCTTTCTTTTCCAATGAAGTACCGTCGTTCCAGATGTCCACTACTTCTACAATTTCGATATTATCCTGGAACATACATGTATATCAACATTCATTAAATAATAGACATAGTAAAACAAATTTCAATGAAAAACTGGAACGACGGTATGCAATTCTTCATTATAATTAAGTATAATTTATCAATATTTCATAATTGAATACATAATTTATTATATACTAAATGATATTATCTAAATAAAAGGTATACCTTGTGATCATTATCCAAAATCACAGCTTCATTTCGTAGCCATTCATCTGTAGCTTTACATCGTACTCGAAATTCAACAAATGAATTAACTTGTTCGATGCATATTTTACATATAGAATTAGGTAAAGAATCCTCAACATTAAACTATAAAATTAGAATCATTTTAACACAATTTCTAACATAAGTTCAAATACAAGACAATATTAACTTACATGAAGATTTGTAACTTCTTGAATATTTTCCAATAGAGTTTCTTCAAAGAACAAATTTTGCAATGTTTGTTCATTGCGTAAACACAGTCGACATAGATCATTCCAATTTTCAATATAAATAACACCCTGGTTTTCTTGATCCATTTGTAAAAATTATTATTAAAATTATTATGAACAAGAAGATAACAATTATCTAGTAAAGAGTAGAAACCGATTGGTAACAAATAAAAACTACACAGTTTTTAACGTCACTTATTAAATATTAAATGTTAAAAAAAGAGGGTGATTGAACACTTGGCCAAAAAATTTTATAATTAAACTACTGACATCACAAAAACAGCGTATAAGAAAATATATATAAAATATCTTTCGTAGTTTCAATCATAGGTATAATAGTCTATTACAACTTTTCTGTCTAATACAAATGTCAAATATTAAATATTCAAATCCCGAATGCTTCACTTCACGGTTTACGCACTCTGGTAATTCGATCCTAACTTCTTAAGTTGAAGTAGTTGAACAGTACTCCACCAAATCCACCATGATAACATTGATAACATAAACTATGATTTCAGGAAAAATAAAATTCAGCCGCTGTGATTGGTTTAACTTTATGGTTAGTAGTCGGTATACCACTATTTAACCACAGTACATTCTATATCAGTAAAATCAAGATTTTAAATCCATTTTCGAAAACGCTATCCCATTAGAATTAGAAATTAAATATGCTAATATTACGCTGTTTATTGATTATTGACTATTAAAGTATTAAACATTGCAAACATCAGGAAGTGATTTTTTTAGTTTTAAATTCTAATACCCAAAATCATGGTTAAGCGAAAATGACATAGTAACCATGGGTTATCGTGAAGTTTAACTATAACCTTGGTTGCTAGCACTAATATATAATTTAAATACATCTGTTTATGTTAAAATCTTATACCGCGGTAGATTATTCTGTGGCGGTAGAGACTTGTGAATTTTAATCAGTAATCCATTGATGATAAAGAAATACCATAGATTTAAATAGTAACTCTAATAATTATCAATTAGTGTTAACTCTATGATATTATTATATTAACTATAATTAACTATAATAAGCTCAACCTTAATAAAAACTATCAACCAGCAGGAAGCAATACTATTTTGTTAACAAAATAGCAACATTAAAACATTTCTTCATTATAATCAATGTTAATGTATTCAATGAATGTATTCCGACTAACATCTACAATACGCTTGCCAATTAAACAATGTTCGATACAGTTAACTAAATATAAATCCACAGATTCCAAAAAAGAGGATTTAAAAGAAAAAATTAGAATGAAAACACCAATCGGTAATGTAAAATAATGATTTAGCTTAGGTATAAGTAATAACTTTTAGTTATGATTATTAAAGGAAAATTAGATGAAATTGAAGCTGGTAAACATCCATTTCAAGAAAAAGAGCCTTTGAAAGAATGGCCTGAAGGCCGTAATCCCACAACTGGAGAAAAAAATGGCCCAAAAGGACCCGAACCAACTAGATATGGTGATTGGGAGAGAAAAGGAAGAGTGACAGATTTTTAAATTCAACACATATTTATAATATAAATCATTTGTTTATAATTAAATATCTATAGTAGGTAAATTGTAAATTATATTTTTAAGATAATAGTAAAAAAAAAACTAATGCATTTTGTTTCTTGATGAATAATTAATGTTAATGACAAAAAAAAAACCTTCTAATGCTAAGTGAGTTTGACAAAACAGTATCTGTTTTCAAAATTATAAAAAAATCAGTAACTTATTCGTCTGTTTTTGAGAGACCCATGGCGTCTTTCATCATAAAATTTCTTAATGCCCATAAAGCGTTTAAAACATTTCCGTGATTACCAATTCCTTTTCCCAACCATTGTATAGCTGGAAGTGAATTTGGATCATCTGGTCCTTTGGTATTTTCTTGTGTAGCAATCAATTGACGTTCCCAATTGGACTTGCTTTCCAGATTTAAGCTCTCAATATATCTGAAAAATATTAAAAATCTGTAAATACCAATTACAAATTAAGATTATTATAATTTTAATTACTTGATATAAGCTTCAGAATGAAATACTCTCGTAGGTCTTGGTGGCACAGTTACAAATAATGGTTCAGGATGTTTACTAATAGTAATGCTATTATTACTTGCCGAACCTAAATTAATGTTAATATCATTAAAATAATACTATATTTAGGATTTATATTGTTTATTATAAACATATTATAAGTATAAATACCATTTTGAGACATGGGAGATGGAGTATTCCTATTTATCTGATTTAAAACATTGACAGCTCCTCCAACTACATAAAAAAAAATTGAATTATTTTATTAATTAAATAAACGGTTATTTTTCCTAGTGATTACATACCTTTTTCTTGTTAAAAAACTCACTATTTCAAAAAAGCTTGTAAATATTTATTTCAGAGCAAAAACTTACCAGGTTGATTTGCAAATTGTTGAGGTATTGGTTGAGCCATTTGTTCTTTTTTCAATCGTGTTGACAGAACAACATTTCTATAAAGCGGTTTAAATTCAACTTAAGCAACACACAACATGCTAATACAAGTAAATTTGTTTAATACGCAACATTAATAATTCTAGTCACTTGAAGAGCTTTAAGATAGAAAAAAAAATGTAAATAGGTTATCATTTAAACTAGTTAAAAATATTTATTTATAAAAATCTATTGTAGATTATAAATGTGCTATTAAACAAATTACCATGAACATATGAAAGATAATGCTACATTATAATATATACATTACAGCTCTTAAAATGAATTGAGATGACCATGCACTCAGTGTTAATTTTTTGAGCCAGGCAAAACCATAAATATTTATTAAAATTGGCTTAACTTTAACTACATTTATGATTTGATATAAATCAAACTTAAATTTAAATAAATTTTATGAATTTTTATTTTTTTATTTATTTGTAGTGAATTAAAAATTTAATCATTCTAAACTTTTTAGAATGATGGGAATTTAATGTATTTTTATGAGTGAAATTATGGAAGTAAAATAAATCAAACTTGATATTACTAGACAGTAACCAGCCATAAAAATTAAAAAAAAAAATTTGCAAATTGATAAATAGTGAATTAAAAGTATCAAAACTAAAATTAAAATAAAAAAAATATGTCAAATTTTTGGAGAAAACTCTTGGTTTTTATAGTAAATAATGAGCAAGGAATAAAAAAACGTTATAAATAATAATATAATTTCAGTTAGTCTGTCATTATTATTGTGATTCAAAGTAATATCGATTATCACTTTTATCATGAATATAGTGTACACCTAATATACTATATGAACATCAAAGATTTATACATCAGCAAATTTAAAGGACTTTTAAGAGAAACAGTTCATTGCTGGTGCAAAAAAAAATAAATAAAAATTGTTCAGAAAAAATATCTAACCTAACCTTATATTACAATACTAACGACAAAATTAATTATTTAAAAAATATCGCTTATAACTTAAAACTACAAATGTAATATTATAATTTTGTAAATTTTTTTATATACTTTTATATTTATAATAATATTTTATTGATATTTTTGATTTTGTAATAAAGTAACCTTTTCTTTTATTTCTTTCACTATTTTGATTTCACTTTTTTTTTCGATAATATGGCTTATAATTGGGTAGGACTACATTAATAAAATTATATTTATGATGAGCCTGGACTTAAAAATTTAAGCTTGTGTAGAGCTATAATATACATAAAAAAAAAAAAAGATAAGAATTCATCACTAATTTTTCTAACTAACAAATAAAATACTAATGCAAACTGCTAAATAAAATAAAATGTAATATCAGCAATTTAAAATAGACAATGTTTATACTTTTTCCTATTTAAAAATGAAGATACTAGTTTTTAAAATATATTGTAGTAAAAATTATGAATGTATTCAAGTAATTAAACAAGTACTAACAACAATTCTAAAAATAAAAAACCAAGGAAACATACAACAAAACATTTTAAGGAACTATTTATTTTTTTTTAATAAAAATTTTAATGGCCATGCTAAATTAAACATAAACTATATTTCGAAAAAAAACAGACCATTAGAATTTTCAACTGGAGGTGGAGATACAGATGCCACAGATAAAACAGAAGTTGTAGTAATGACAGAGCGAGTGCTCGACATTAAATTTCTGAAATTAAAGTATGATTGTTGAAAGTTAGAAATAAATATAGTACCTAAGATATTAAATTCAATTGATTCGATTTAAAAAAATATTTATAATGGAAATTATTATCTAATTAAATATTATACTTTGAACATAAATAAGTCCATTAATTAATCTAATATTCTCAAAAATAATTGCTAATTTATCTTGATGGATACCATGTTATACATAAGTAATATTATTAAATCTCCTTCAGAACATAAAACATAAATTGTATTTACTTGTTGCGTTCTGATAATGGTACTGGTTTCCCGGGATTTTTAAGTATATGCACTTCTTTTACATGTCTAACTAGGCGATGTAAACTTGGAAATGGAGCAATACCAGTCTTTTTAACTCTAAGACATCCTCTCCACTGACATTGAAATTCAATTTCTTGTAAAATTAAAGAATAGCAAAACAAAAAATTGATTAATATTTAAATTATTTTATGAAAGAAAATACATACCACTGGGAGGAATAGCCGCAAAAAATGTCTGCACATGTCCATATTGATCAGCTACAGCATGATCTAAACAATCTGATTGATCTTCAAATTGCCAATCACAATTGTCCCAACCACATTCCCAAATTAGATCAGAACCTTCTGGGGGAGCTAGAGCTTGGTGTGTCTGTTGACGCCATTGTGGATAATTCTCTTCATTTAATCTATTTGCACGTTCTTCATATGCCATTTTTTCTGTCTGTGATAAATTACGCCACTGTAATATCAAGGTATTAAGAGTTTAGTAAATGATTTAACTGTGATATTTTTTAAATATAATTTACTTCATTGCCGACAATACGACTAACTTCGCCAAAACTACGATCTGGATTATTTTGTACAATAGCTTTACGAACATCACTTGTATATAATATATAACCAGTGACAAGTTTTTTATGATTAGGGTTCTTTTTTCTAGATGATGATGGAGTAGACATGATTATTGAAGTATTCAATGTACGTTCACCCAAGTCAGAAGAGCTGACAGATGGTGGACCACCATCCATTGAATCTTCTGTCATTGTATCAGCTGGTTCTAGTTTTGGCATAGCTGGAGAATTAACATTCTGTAATCAGAATAAAGATGAAGTATAAAAAATACAAAAATAAATCATTATATTAATCTTACAGATACAGAATCATAGTGTTGGTTGTACACAGTTTTAACATCACTTGATTGAGTGTTGTTTTCAGTAGCTCCAACCTAAAAAATAAATATTTTTAATAAAACTAAATAATATTTTCAATAAGGTTACTTACTTTTACTGGATGAATAAGTCTCCTAAAGAAATAAAACTCGTCTTGATTTACAGCTGGAGAATGAGTATATTTTTTTAAACCGTCTTTTGGTAATTCTTTTATTTGTTTAGTAGATTCATCATAAATTGATTCACAAAGATAAACATCATCTTCAGCTATTTCTGCTGGACGACCTATAAAATAAATATAAAAATAAAAAATGCAATTTAAGAAATTATTTATTACATTTACATGATATATATTCAGCATGTTCTAACACAGAACATTTTCCTGTGATTTTTGATATTAATACAGTTTCTTCATTATTTGTTAACAGGACTTCTTGTTTAAAGAATTGTCTACCAGAAAAATTTGGAAGGTTCATGGGAGTTAGTAGTACTGCACCAAAAACAAATGCTCCTCTAAAAATTAAAAACATATGAATAAATTTATTTTATAATTGATTTAGTTAATTTATGATAAAGGATTTCTAGCACTAACATGTAGGCTTTTAAAAGGTATAATTAAACCTCTATACATTAAATATTTACTTACTGCTTATTAACCCAAATTTTATCAACCTGAACTATCTGATTTTGATCATTTTTTACATAAACGAAATCGCCTGGTTTGAGTAAACCTACATGAGTATTATATTGTTCATAATAAACATTTCCATCATCAATAATCCCAGGAGGATTTTGAATTATTATATTCTGTTTAATAAAACAAAATTATGTTAACAACAATTTATGTGACTTTATATAAAGCAAAAATACTAACTGGTTTTTCTTTTTCAATTATTTTTTCATGTTCTTCAAGTTCTGCAATTTCTTCTTTATGTTTTTCTACACGGTCACGGAATACAGACATGACCCGTTTAGGATCCAAAGGTTCATCTCTTTCAACTAATTTCCATGGGGCTGTTAAGCTTAAAGCCCAATTCTAAAATATTCATGTAATTTACTTACTTAATTTTTACAATACAAGCAGTACTTACCTTGATTTTTTTGAAATTTCTACATCTAGATGAGTATCTAGATTCACACACATATACATCTTTTTCATCAAATCCTTTAGGTTGATAGCGGAAATAATCTTTAACACTTACAACAGCACACCGACCTTTAATTCGACTAACTGGTATTGTAATATTTAAATCAGTCTTAAAAACCTCCTAAAAA